AGTAACAATTAGAGAACATTCAAAAGTAACATTCAGAGAACATTCTAAAGTAACAATCAGAGAACATTCTAAAGTAACAATCAGAGAACATTCTAAAGTAACAATCAGAGAACATTCTAAAGTAACATTCAGAGAACATTCTAAAGTAACAATCAGAGAACATTCTAAAGTAACATTCAGAGAACATTCTAAAGTAACAATTAGAGAACATTCAAAAGTAACATTCAGAGAACATTCTAAAGTAACAATCAGAGAACATTCAAAAGTAACATTCAAAAGTAACATTCAGAGAACATTCAAAAGTAACAATTAGAGAACATTCTAAAGTAACAATCAGAGAACATTCTAAAGTAACAATTAGAGAACATTCTAAAGTAACAATCAGAGAACATTCTAAAGTAACAATCAGAGAACATTCTAAAGTAACAATTAGAGAACATTGTAAAGTAACAATTAGAGAACATTGTAAAGTAACAATCAGAGAACATTGTAAAGTAACAATTAGAGAACATTCTAAAGTAACAATTAGAGAACATTCTAAAGTAACAATCAGAGAACATTGTAAAGTAACAATTAGAGAACATTCTAAAGTAACAATTAGAGAACATTCTAAAGTAACAATCAGAGAACATTCAAAAGTAACAATTAGAGAACATTCTAAAGTAACAATCAGAGAACATTCTAAAGTAACAATCAGAGAACATTCTAAAGTAACAATTAGAGAACATTCTAAAGTAACAATCAGAGAACATTCTAAAGTAACAATTAGAGAACATTCTAAAGTAACAATTAGAGAACATTCTAAAGTAACAATTAGAGAACATTCTAAAGTAACAATTAGAGATCATTCTAAAGTAACAATTAGAGAACATTCTAAAGTAACAATTAGAGAACATTCTAAAGTAACAATTAGAGAACATTCTAAAGTAACAATTAGAGAACATTCTAAAGTAACAATTAAAGAACATTCTAAAGTAACAATTAGTGAACATTCTAAAGTAACAATTAGAGAACATTCTAAAGTAACAATTAGAGAACATTCTAAAGTAACAATTAGTGAACATTCTAAAGTAACAATTAGAGAACATTCAAAAGTAACAATTAGAGAACATTCTAAAGTAACAATTAGAGAACATTCTAAAGTAACAATTAGAGAACATTCTAAAGTAACAATTAGAGAACATTCTAAAGTAACAATTAGAGATCATTCTAAAGTAACAATTAGAGAACATTCAAAAGTAACAATTAGAGAACATTCTAAAGTAACAATTAGAGAACATTCTAAAGTAACAATTAGTGAACATTCTAAAGTAACAATTAGAGAACATTCAAAAGTAACAATTAGAGAACATTCTAAAGTAACAATTAGAGAACATTCTAAAGTAACAATTAGAGAACATTCTAAAGTAACAATTAGAGAACATTCTAAAGTAACAATTAGAGATCATTCTAAAGTAACAATTAGAGAACATTCTAAAGTAACAATTAGAGAACATTCTAAAGTAACAATTAGTGAACATTCTAAAGTAACAATTAGAGAACATTCAAAAGTAACAATTAGAGAACATTCTAAAGTAACAAT